TTATCCTCTTCGGGTCAATCTCTCAAAATCGATTCTTGAAAAATACATACATATTGCTATATATATATGGTGAAAAAATATATAATTTTAGAATAGGTTTAAGCTGAGAAGACATTTTAGAATTACTTACTATTTAAAATCGCCGAACTTAACTTCAAAACGCATAAATGGTCAATTCAAATCAAAATTTTTCATTTTAATTGCAGACTTTCACTTGTTAAATGATAGTACCTATACATGACAAAATTAAACACAACATAAAACTACGGATGCGTTAAAATGTTCATGGATTGGACTTTATTATAGTTTGATAATTTTCGGATCTATGCACATGTTGCGTCATTAGTTAGCAGAGCTGACGTTTTGGTTTTTAGATTAAATCTATCGAAAATATATACCTACTAATTTGTTTTATGGGTTAAAATAAGTGTTAATAAAGGTTTTATAAAATAAAATAACATGTGTGTGTATTTGTTTTCGTTCAATGGCAAGGTAGGTATTTACAATAGAAAAAAAAATGAAAAATACAAAAACCCATGTGTTTTTTTTTTCTATGAACATTGCAGTTGTACCATATTAATAATTATTTACACTTCTAGTGTATAAAACCGTCGTCAAGAGTCCAGACGGATTTTTTTCTAGGTTATACGCGTAACACGGTTTGTCAGAAATAAAATAATAGTAATAATTGTCAAGACGAATGTGATTGACGTGGCGACACCGTTATTGTGACACCTTTTGGCGCCTACCGTCGGCTGCAATGTCCAACACCACCGTCGCGTTAGATGACTGTGACTAAATTCGTAGGCGATCACATTATTGTAAACGCAAAGCTTCAAAAGCATTATAGTATTATGAACGTTTTAAAAGGAAGGGAACATAACGGGTTTCCGTCTTGGCGGTACTAATAAAAACCGCTATAATAAAAAAAAAACGTGAACAACAAAATATATATTTCACAACAAATGATGCAGATTGTGTGTGCGCATATGACATTATTTGTCTAATGTATAAGCTACTGTATTCAGTCCCTTGAAAAACATTAATCATCAAGTTAACTCTAAAAAGTTAAAAAAATAAAATTTCTAATTTCGATAGATTCATAATCATAATATGTGCATTATTTTGAATATTATATAGATTCTTAACTATTGAAATACGGACATGCGTCCAAAATATTTGTTTAACACATCTACCGATGGTTTTTTTTTTATTTAATATTTTTTATCTTCAAAAGGGAACAAGTAATTTTGTGATGTGCAAAAAATTATACAATTTATACATATTGGCATATACCCAATTGTTTCCCCACTGGGAAACAATTGTTTGAAATGAATTAATTGGAACTGAAGTGAACATACTTAAGACTGTATTGTTTATTTTGTATATGAATAAAAAGTCTCGTGTCCCGATAAAAATGTTATACAATTTAATTAAAATGTATCACGTCCGTTATAATATTATGCGTATGGAGAGCGGGGAGTTTTTTTACAGCAAACGTCACACGTCTTGATATCGAATACCTCGAAAGGGGTTTCCGGTTAGGTGTACATACTTTGATGTGTAATATACATTTTTTCCCTACAGGACCTTCGCATCGCGCTCGGTTTCGTCCAGACACAAGGCCGCGGCCCGGACACGACACTGACGCTATCTTTTTTTCTTTAACTGACACACTGACAATATAACATTATATGAGTTTGGCGGATTTCGGACACGGCATTGTCAGCTGCTGCCGTCCGAAACTATATACTAGGTATTATGCGAGTACACAATGTGCTTCATTATTGTACACACACACACATACACTGAGCGTACTGTAGAAAACGGGGTGCCGAGGACATATACTAATAATATGATTGTGTCTGATCCGATCGGATCCCGGATGCGAGCGACGGAGGTGACGCGGTCCAAGACAATGGATATCGCGGAGCACCGCGGGCCATCGACATTTTTTTATACTATTATCCGAGATATAAAAAAAAAACCTATATCGAAGCTCACCGTCGAAACTGAGATTTATTATCGTTGTAGTTATTATTATTATTATATTTCCCGTGTTTTTTTTATTTTACCCATTTTCGCCTTAAGGCCGCATCGCTGGTCTGGTACGCGGTGGCAGTTATATTTGTGCTAGGCATCTACACAATACAGTATCCCGTGTACATATATATATATATATACACAGGAAACTCTGGATTTATATATGGTAATATAATATATGAAAAATATGGGTGCCTGGAAGGTGTACCGCGCGCAGTTTATGCGGTGGCGGCTTTGGTCATTATCGGTCGAGACAGCGTTCGGGTGATTTACGGGTGACGAGTATACATAAGGTCGTACGCACTTACCCCGCACATAGAATAACAATAATTATAATGATGATAATAATAATAATAGCTGCCGTCGATGTGGAATAACGATAATTATCAACAGATCATGTTTTCGGGAGCCTGAAAAACGGTCGTCCCGAGGCCATCCACGGCAAGTCGATTGCCGCCGTTCACTTGAATAATTATCCGGTAGCCGGGACCATGTCAAAAACCTATCAATCGGCCGAGCACGAGAAAAAAAAAAAGATACATAATATTATACATATAGAAAGAAATGCGTCGTTTCGTCTTGGGTCTCGTTTAGCACCGTTACAACTGCGGCTATTCTTCGACAATTTTAAACGTTCTTCTATATACCTACCCGACAACATGCATATAATATAATATATTATTATAATATCATGATGGACGAGCGTGTGTCAAAAACAAAACGTGTGTGTATATGTAGTGTTTTCCCTTCTTTCTGCCGCTCACTCTTTATGCCCTAAACGGGTGCTAGCATAATGTGCTTACACGTATTATACACAAGCATAACCCCTTTGGGCTGTGCGCACAGTAGCACATTGCACAACGCACACGGGACGGGACTTCTCGGTATGATAAATTCGTGTTGTCCGGCAATATTTAAAACCTAAAAAAAAAAAATGAGACGATAAGTACTGTTGTTACTCAGTCGGGCAAAATCATAATAACCATGATGATTAGCTCTCGACGTCGGTAGCCAAGAGTAGAAAACCCAAAACCATTTGCTGGTACTTCCGCAATTGGACGGAAGCAACTATTAAAAATTCAACGAATGTCTAATTTTCGAAAGCATCACCACCAACGCGGTGTTCGGCCAAAAAAAAAACCTCTTTCAAATAATAATTAAGGACGGCCTATCGGTATAAGATAATTGGATCGTTAAAAAAAAGTGGAAAAGATGAATACATGGATTGGCAGGTAGAACAAAATATATTGGCAAAACATAAAACAGAGAAGAAGGGAGGCGAAGTGGAAGCAGTACAAATTTGTCTCCAGCACTACCGAATCTACTTAATTTTTAGAGTCAGGGTACTGTTTAAAATGAATAATTTAGGATTGTGTTATTCTATTTTATATTTTGGCACGACATAGTGAACACTGAGGACTAACACAGGAACGTGCATAGATGCATCGTTACATTTTGGAACAGCTCATAAATACCTTCAACCGATAGTACCTTCAAACGTCTTTTTAAAATTGAAACAGTAGAAAAAATATTTGTAATAATAATAAAAATATTCGCAACAAATAAAAATACTGCTGTCTTTTGATCATGGATGTATACTGAAGTATTATATTATTATTCAGCTCTACTGTACTACAAATGATTACTACCTATGCAAATCTCAACATCTTAAACCTACAGTAGTCGCGTTTTATTTTGTTTTTTTCCTAATAAAACGACGCCCGTGGCAATTATTTGTTATAGCAGTTTCATTTGCATACTAAACTATTATACAAGGCATATGTATATATAATATATATACACAATATATGTATTCAACATTAGTCTGCGTTTTTATGCTTTTATATACACACACACACACTCTCGTATGATTTTAGTGTTTAACTTATATTATTCTCTGCACGTTTGTGAGGCGTTACAATATACATATATGAACAAAGGACACAACATTTCACACAAAAACATGCGGTACATAGTATTTAAGTATGACTAATTTTTAAAATACTTTCGTACATAGCTACCGTTTGGATTAAATCAAGTGTCCCTACTATACATATAGCGGCACTCAGCTAGTTTTATTTTTATTTTAAAACTCCCTCAAATCGCTAATGGTATAAATATAGATATAATGCTTGGCAAAATTAAGCCTGTGTTTTCAGGAATTTGATAAAGTCATTTTTGAGTTGAAAACAGGTTTAGAAATTCATTATTTAACAAATTATGAGTATAGGATTATTAAATTTCAAAAATCCGGATTTTGCCCAACTCAAAGATACATTTTCCAAAGTTGTGTACTTTGTCTACTAATTTAGGACGTATGCTAACCTTTAAAAGTAGACTGAATCATTCCAACCGAGTCTTGTGTAATGTACTGATAGAAATATTAATAGATTAAATCGGTTCTCAAGCAAAAAAGTTATCGGATCTTCATTAAAAAAAAAACATATCATTATAAAACCGCCTGAGCTTCCCGTCGACGCTAAAAAAGTAAAACTATTTCCCACCCTTATATTAAAATGCGAGGACACTATAATATTACAACGAGTTATGCCATTTTGAAATTACAAATGCAAGACAATGGATTATAAAATATTACTAATTATATTATGTAAATGCAAGTACTCATATAAAGTAGAGTACGCCGCCATGAAAAAATTTGGATACACGAGCACCTGTCGATAAATATCGTGTTTAACGGGTAATAATTTAAAATTTTTGTAATAATAAAAATATGTACTTCCACAGGGAAATAATAATAATTTATATGCGTTGTAGTTTAGCGAGTGATGGAAAAAACTCTATAAGCGGATGTAAACGTTTTATTTTATGAATTATTCATCTTGTTCCGGTACATAATATTATTATAACAGTGGGTATAGTTATGTTTACAGCGTGGAAAGATGCAAGTGCCAAGTGGCAAACGTCGTAGGAGTGGTGACAAACCTAACCAAACCGGATCAACTCAAGTTGATCGTAGCCAACTGGCATATTTAACTTACACATTACATTTATTTATAACAAATTTAATAAAATTGTAGGTAGAACTACTATTACTTGTTCAAATATGTTGTACATCATGTGTATCGTGTTGTGCATAGTTTATTATGTATTCATCCACTACTTACTTGTAGTGAGAATTTTTTAATATATTCTTAATAATTTTAGCTTACACATTTTAGACATGGCGTTTGTAGAATTTATAGGGGCACAAAGTGAATATTGATTAAAGTACAATAAATAATCGGATATAGTCGGCATAAGCACTGGAGTATAAAATATCAGAAATGATACTCAAAATGTAACCTTAAATTTGCGCTAGCGTGAATTAAGAACCGTAATTAAGAAAACAATGCAAATATTAAGAAAAAAATGCAAATATTAATTATTTTTTGAGTAGAATTCAATTTTATCCCAATGCCCATGATATTAATTCTTTTAAAAACAAATGTATACTTGTATATATAACAAAAATATATTTATAACATATATAAAAACTTAATGGTAAATATTAAAAAGATAAGTTTAAAACATTATAAATAGCTAAAGTTTTTCCACATGAAGCACCCAAATGTAAACGTTTGTCTATATCATCCAAACATTTCATATACGATTGAATTAGTTTAAAATCAACCCAACCCAGACTTGTGTTGTTTAATATTTCATTAACAATCTGCTGTGCGTCGGTAAGATGCTGATCTATTAAATTGTACGACGAACCGACAGTTGAATAATTGCTGATCATACTAGTCATAGAAGATGTACCTATCGAAGCCGAGATAGAATCGTGCTCATATTGTATTTTTTCAATTATAGAATCAACATTTTTAAAATAGTAATTCAACTGTGAGTTAAAAAATGTGCAAAGTTCTTGAAAGAAATCGTCATCGCTTAAATATAAAGCGTTATTAAACTGTATTAAAATCGAATTCCAATCCACGATATATCTGTTAATATAGCTATCACTCTTACTTTCTGCTATTAAGTTGTAAATTTCTACTATGAATTTCCAAGTAAGTTGTAGCATACTAATTTTATATATGGCTATCAACTCATAATACAGTATTCTCTGATTTATTATTTTTTTCAATTCATTGTGTGACGTATAGTATTGCCTATTTAATATGCGAGATTCTGTAATATGCCATTCGGCCGTGTCGAAATATTTGCCAAACGCATCGATATAACTAGTTAAAACAGAACAACTCAACACATGGACCAGGTAACAACCATCGATAATCATTTTGGACTCATAAGCAAAAAGTCCCACGTTTAAATTATGAAGCATTATTAAACTAAACGCTTGTTTGTTATTTTGTATTATTTTCGCTGCAACAGGAAGACAATGTGTGCATTTGAAGATTGGTATTAAATTGTTGGTTGGACGATTGGAATGAAAACAATCGGCAAAATTCATGTTAAATGTATTTTTATGATTACAATTCAGTTTTAAGTATTCGTCTAGTATTCCGACGACAAAAGCGTACAATTGAATCATGCCATTTGGATGATTTCTATCTGAAGGAAACGATGTAGGAGTAGTCGACTTAAAACGATTAATATAGGATTGCAATTTATCTGCGTACATATACACTAGCCAAAACTCATCTATTCGTATTCCTTTTACTTCTATCATGGTGGCAATCATTTTAGAGACTTCTGAGACAAATGAAAAATCATCAATTGAAATGTATCGAAATGTATTGTAATTATAATTTTGCTCCATAAAAATTGATCTAGTAACAAAAATATGCGTTTGTGCGATGAAAAGATATCCACATTTAAGATGATGATATTTATCGATTAAAGCTTGTCTCAGTTCTCCCGTCGAGGTTTCATATGTAATTGCTACTTCTTCAATGTCTTCATTACTGTACCCGTTATTGAACAGTTCTACTTTACGTATTGCAGCGATCACTTGCTGACGTTTTGCATATGGATCTTCGCAAGAGACATAACATTTGAAATATAATATGAAAATTAAATAAATCCGATGATATTTTGTTAAAATCATTACGGTGTCTCTATACGGTATCAAAATACTGTCCTTAAATTGTTTCGATTATTATTTATTTCTTATCTATTCACTAACCGCGTGATAACTACAATTAAATCTTAAAAATGTAGCTTACCGCAGGCTTAGTGAATCACTTATGTACTTGAAACATTTGCACGTTAACACGATCGCACTGTTTGTAGTTGCAGTATCTAAAAATTTGTTCCTATAATCCGTGTTTTTTTTTCAAGAGTAATAATATTCGGTTTGTATAAATATTATGTTTGATTTACACTGCGTCACGCATGTGTTGTTTTTTTATCATTTCTGGTTTTAAGCAATCGCTTATATTTATATACATATTTTTTTGCTTGGATACGAGCCTGAGGAGGCAATAGTTTTACGATTATGTGTATTTTACAATAATCAATAAAACTATTCATTCTGCTTTACTGCAATAATAAATACGTGTTCCATTTGTATTATTGTTATTGAGATTTTACAAAAAAAATATCATTAATCCGAAAAAAAGTACAAACTTTTCCAAATTATTATTATCGTGTCTAGTCGTACTTACAAAAAACTAAAAAACGATTAGTTTTACAGCCTTTTTTGTTTTTTTATTTAAATATTTTCTTTATTTACAATCTATACAAAATATGTATAATCAGCAAGTTTGATTAGTTTTACAGCCTAAGCCTACATGCATGATTAAAAATATTTCGCATTATGGTGTTGGTCCAGTATTGAAGATTTGTTAACTAATTAAATACTTAAGTTTGCGACTTTGGCTAGTCAATTTGTATGTAGTTATTTATTACATTATTTTATAAATACCGTCCATGTTTTATCATTTGGACGGAGTAGACGTTGAGAAAAATTACAGTCAATTATTTGTATTGTGTTTAAAAAACGAGCAACTGCCTTTTAAATCGATTTTCGACCTTTTTCGTTTATTTATTAATTAGCGGGAAGTGGGTGATATATTTACTGTTAGAAACTCGGGCCTTGGATTAGACCGATCTACGGCATATGATTAATGTATCATTCTTACATTCGTACATCCTTCCCGAAAAATCAATTCTTCTAAATTCTTATCCTCTACCAACATAGATGTACTTGGTCAGTCCTTATTAACTGTTTAATACACTCTTTGTTTACCTATATATTATATTTTTTTTAACATTGCCTCAGTCACCTTTAATAGCCGGCCGCAAATAACGACCCAATCTTTACTTCCTTCCATTAACCCTTTAAATCAGCCTATGGTCACGTATGATAGGATAAAAAAAATTGTAATAATGATAAAACAAAACAATTTTGTTTTTTGATAAAATATTTTTTATTCATAACTTATGTGTGTTAAAAGTTTGATTGAACTTCGCACCTTTTATACTTACATAACCGATTCAACTACCACAGTATGTGTCAATGCAGCCATATCATTATTTACTTAATAATATTACTGGTATACTGTATACACACTGCATGTAGGTTCATTAATTCTTATAAGGCATTTTGAATTTGGTATTAAATTCAAAATCATGTTTTTCTTGTAGTTCCTATTTTTATTTGTTATACAAGTTTTTATCGTTATATGTGTTTTAACAATTGTATTCCATTATGGACCGTAAAATACTGCTGTATGACATTATTTAGGACAGTAAGAAAAGCACTACAGTATACAATTGCAAAACTGATATTCAAAATGTACCCTTAGACGTGTGATAGGGTGAATTTAAAAAAAAAATTCAAACCTAAATTCAATTTTGAACGTTTATTTATTGCGTCGAATCCAATTTTATCCCATTTAATAATGATAATAGTATAAATACATTAATTTTAATATTAAAAGGAAGATTTACAACATCATAAATAGCTTAAGTTTTTCTATATCAAGCACCTAAATATAAAGGTTTATCCATATCATCCAAAAATTGTATTCCATGATAGTAATTCTATTGTAAATTAAAATATATAGGTATATACTAATTACATTGATAAAATATATAAAATTACTTTAATTTTAAATATTAAAAAGATAGGTTAATAACATTATAAATAGCTAAAGTTTTTCCATATGAAGCACCCAAATGTAAACGTTTGTCTATATCATCCAAAAATTTCATATACGATTGAATTAGTTTAAAATCAACCCAACCCAGACTTGTGTTATTTAATATTTCATTAACAATCTGTTGTGCGTCGGTAAGATGCTGATCTATTAGATTGTACGACGAACCGACGGTTGAATAATTGCTGATCATACTAGTCATAGAAGATGTACCTATCGAAGCCGAGATAGAATCGTGCTCATATTGTATTTTTTCAATTTTAGAATCAACATTTTTAAAATAGTAATTCAACTGTGAGTTGAAAAATGTGCAAAGTTCTTGAAAGAAATCGTCATCGCTTAAATATAAAGCGTTATTGAACTGTATTAAAATCGAATTGCAATCCACGATATATCTGTTAATATAGCTATCTCCAAGTAAGTTGGAGATAGCTCCAAGTAAGCAATATCTCCAAGTAAGTTGTAGCATACTAATTTTATGTATGGCTATCATCTCATAATACAGTATTCTCTGATGTATTATTTTTTTCAATTCATAGTATGTCGTACGGTAATGACTATTTACTAAGCAAGATATTTTGTATTTCCATTTGACTTTTTTGAAATATTTTGATAACAACGTGTCAACATAGCTAGTTTGTGCTAAATAATCACAACTCAATACATGATTCAGGTAATGACTTTCAATAATCATTTTAATCTTATAAGCAACAAGTCCCACGTTTAAATTATGATTGAATAATAAATTAAACTCGTTTTTGTTATTTTTTATTATTTTTGCTGCAACGGGGAGACAATGTGTGCATTTGAATATTAGTATTAAATTTTTGATTGAATGTTTGGAATGAAAACAATCGGCAGAATTCATGTTAAATTTATTTTTATGATTACAATTCAGTTTTAAGTATTCATCTAGTATTCCGACGACAAAAGCGTACAATTGCAACATTCTATCCTGATGTTGTTTCGTTAAATCAAACCATAGATGGGTTTTTTGGATACTATGGATAAAGAATTGCAATTTATCTGCGTATCTTTTACTTCTATCATGGTGGCAATCATTTTAGAGATTTCTGCGACAAATGAAAGATCACCAATTGAAATGTATCGACATGTATTGTAATTATAATTTTGCTCCATAAAAATTGATCTAGTAACAAAAATATGCGTTTGTGCGATGAAAAGATATCCACATTTAAGATGATGATATTTATCGATTAAAGCTTGTCTCAGTTCTCCCGTCGAGGTTTCATATGTAATTGCTACTTCTTCAATGTCTTCATTACTGTACCCGTTATTGAACAGTTCTACTTTACGTATTGCAGCGATCACTTGCTGACGTTTTGCATATGGATCTTCGCAAGAGCCATAACATTTGAAATATAATATGAAAATTAAATAAATCCGATGATATTTTGTTAAAATCATTACGGTGTCTCTATACGGTATCAAAATACTGTCCTTAAATTGTGTCGATTATTATTTATTTCTTATCTATTCACTAACCGCGTGATAACTACAATTAAATCTTAAAACAATTAGCTTACCGCATGCTTAGTAAATCATTTATGTACTTGAAACATTTGCACGTTAACACAATCGCAATGATTCGTAGTTGTAGTAAGTAACTAAAAAAGTTGTTGAATAATTCGTGTTTTTTTTAAAGTTATAATATTCAGTTTGTATAAATATTGTGTTTGATTTACACTGCGTTATGCATGTGTTTTTTTGTATAATTTCCGTTATTTAGCAATCGCTTATATATATATATATTGTTACTTAGATTCGGGCCTAAAGAGTAACGGTTTTACGATTCTGTGTTTTGTGTTTGAATTAGACAATTGGTTTTGCCGAATAAAAGTTAAAATAAATTACAATAAATTATTTTTATTGTGTTTAAAAAACGAGCAATTGCCTTTGCGGGGTTTTATCGATTTGGAAAAGGAAGAGGTGAATTTTTTTTAATACTGATCCAAAAATAAAGCACCTATTATCAGTACGATTTCTGATCTATTGAATAAGTTTTCTTTGCTAAGGTGACAATAAAGTGACTGTAAACACAATACCTCCTCAGCTAAAAATAAATCATGCATCAGGATTCAGGCGATTAAGTCACGTTTGTTCAAGACCTGTCTATTACTCTTATTGTTATGTAGTTTTTTAAAATATACACTACCTTAGTGGTTTGTAGTTGCAATGTTGGATACGCTGAGTGCTGACTTTGGTCGTACACATATTTAAAATAAAATATTATCATAATGTCCTCGCAGCAGAATCGAATACTGCTGGCTTCAGATATGTACGTTTAAGCGGGTGATTGCGAGGCGAATTTACAGTCCCGTGAAATTGGTCGGAAAGTTTTTCAAGATGACGATATGTAAGGTGTTTGTACATGTATATATGGAACTTGGAAGATGGCAAGCGCGGTTAATTTAATTTCAGAACCGTCTTGGCGCGAAATGAGAAGCTGCCGTAACGCGAGAGAAGCCTGTGCCCACCTATCCGTCCCGGCTCGTTCGAGGGGACGTACGCTCGAGGGCATTTGCAGATGAACACTGTCGGGATAAGAGCAAAAAAAAAAAGGGAAAACCCGCATATCGTAAAAAAAAACCTTGTTTTATCAAACGTCAGTGGCGGCTTAGCGAAAATTAAACAATTTTTTTATTATTTTGTACAGAGGAATAACATAAAATAGGTACTTTGATGACTGCGATGGGTCATTATAGAATATGGATAAAGTATGCGTGCCCTGAGCCGGCAATCTAAAACCGCAAGCCGATTTAATTCAGAAATATTTATAAGGAATTTAAGATAAATCGCAGTATTGCTGTATTGTAGAGTGTTATTATTATTACCGTCACTGTAACATTAATCGTTTATTTATGAAAAGTCGTGATAGCAAAATGTTCGATCAAATTTGTTTTACGATAAAAAAATATTTAATAATAATAATAGATGTACTATTCGTTAAAAAGTTGTTTATTTGTTATTTTTTTTTTCACAAAACAGTTTGCTTCTTAGACAAAATTTTTTTTTTTTTGACATTAAAAATACCTATTATTTAATGTTACTTAAATCTGAAGTGACAAAATAATTGTACAAGTTATCA